CTGATTGCTCACAGATTGAAGTATGGTGTTTCTTGTTACATTTCTGACATCCGAGTTTGCTTTTACAGTTGACAGCACGATGTTGACTTCCTGTGCAATTGAAGCATAGTCTCTTTTCCGCCAGAATCTTTTTTCTTTGTTCTCTTGTTACAACATTTGGGCAGTTCGTGCCTTTGTGCGTGGTATCCTCGCAGTACACACAACCTCGTTCTCGCGTGTCGCGTCCCGAATCCTTTGCATGGAAAAACTTCGATCTTGAATCTTTCCCGCCTTTTAGTTGATCTATTGGCTCTGATTTTTCCTCGATCGGATTGATATCTTTCCACCTTTTCAGCTCTTTTAGAAGATCATCAAAGCTCCATTTCTGCCAGCCTTCATTTCCGCGTACTAGGTCTGCTTTTATTCCCTTTAACTTAACTTAACTTGTCCAAAGTTGCTCGTACATTTCCTCTCACATCATCTAATTTGCCAAGTGTATCAAGACTTTGAACGTTATATCTCAGTTGTTTATAGAAATCGTGTATTTTAGTAGGATTTGTCCCTGAAATTACCGGTAGATTGGTGATATTTACTATGTATGCGTTCACAACTTCAGCTGACTGTCCGTATTCGGTTTCGAGAATATCTTTGGCTTTCGAGTATCCCGCTTCGGTAAATGGCAGGCCGTCAATGTCACAACGTACAGACTCATCAAGTAATTCTTTTAAGTAGGCAAACTTCGTTAAGATTGGTATTTTCGTTGATTCGATTTCCGACGTAAATTTTCCCCAAAACGGTAGCCATGATTCGAATTTGCCGTCAAATTTTGTTATAGGTAACTTCGGTAATTTAGCGGCAGAATTTTGTTTACATTGTTCGCTATTTTCTGCTTCGCTTGCTTTTTCTTTCTCGCGTTCTTTCTCAAATTCAGCTTTTTGCTCGAGTAATTCTCGCTCAAATTCAAGGTTTTTCTTATGATCTTGCACTGCCTTCTCGTGTTGTTCTCGGCGAACGATTTCTTTAATTTGTTGAGCCAATCTTCGTACATTTTCGTCCGCTATAGCAAGTTCGTCTTCGTATTCTTTAGCCCATTGTGCGACGTCTTCTTCGCTCTCGCCCTTGGAAAATTTCTTTTCTTCTATGGTCTCTTTAAGATTGATTATCGCTTTGGTGACATTGTCAATAGATTCTTGCTGACGCTCAGACGCTTGCCGGCCTTGTTTAGCCATTATTTCTTTGGTTTTTCCCTGCCTAAATCTCAGGGCTTTTACTTTGCTCACGAGTTCGTTTAGTTGTTTATCCATGTTATACTCGAGAATATATAAAATATATTATTTCACAATGTCGATTCTTCACAACAAGCACGGGTTTTTTGCTCTTGATTCGAGCTAACTCACGATTAATCCCGTTCGGAGGTGCCACTGTGTCGTGAATTGCCTCCTATATTCACAACAACTCACTAAAAGTAGAGATTTCAAACGCTTTTATGAAAAATATATTTATTCTCGCCCCGTCTCAACACAATCACACAAATTCTTGCAATGTACAAACCGCATGCTTTTTGATTGACACTTGCGCATTAATTAACTTCAGGTATGCCATAAACTGTTAAATATTAAATATTGACAATCTCCAACATTCTTAACTGTGTTTATCCTGGCTAGCCCACCCTGTCAACTTTCCCTGTGGGAGGAAACCGGAATACACGGAGAAAACCCACGACTTTAGGCAGAGCGTTGACTGACTCTTTGCATATGAGTCCGTATAGTGAAAATCGAACCGACGATCTCGGAGGTGAAAGCAGTTTGCTCTGACGACTGCGCCACCGAAGTCAGCCCGCGTAGAAATTTAAGTAGAAATTTAACACGTTCATATAAACCACTGAGTAGAAATTTAACACGTTCATATATTTTCCCCGAGCCGGCGGCGCGAAGCACCGTGCGAGGGTACTAATTCCCCCCGGCTATTTACTCCCGGGGAAACGAAAGCATTAGCGGAGTCTAAAGTTCATCAAATATCGCGGGCGTGGATGACCAACCGTGGGTGGTCATCCTCACTGATCTCAAATATATGACGGACTGTCATGAATAGCGGACACTGATTGGTCCAATTTAAAATTTGCATTATAAGGATTATAACGACTGCATGACGACAGCGAAATAGCAAACATTTCTTGATTTGATGATTGATGAATTTTTTGTTCGCATTTTTGCAAGATTTTGTAAATTTCAAAAGTTTTCTCATAAAGAAAGGGCGAAAGAATCGGCTAAAGGAAGGGAGCCGACGTTAACGAATGTAAGTTTGTTTTAAATATTGATTTTATAATGGATTTCAAACCCGACGGCCTTTGCGTATATGAAACAACTAAACAAGACAGCATATAATTTCAGTGTATCTTTAATATTGATTCCCTTTTTTATTATATTGAATTTTTTAAATAAAAAAGAAAGCAAAGTTATTTGCAAGCGAGAATTTGAAATCATTTTATTGCAAACTCAAAGTTTATCGATAAAGCCATTTAATTATAAAAGGCTGTTTAGTTTTATAAAGAACAATTTAAAACGTTTTGCGAAGCGTTTGTGGTTGAATTTTATCTTAAATTGAAGCCTATATTACGTATAATAACATACCTAACATATATATGTTGGGAAATTGATAACTTTGTAATTAAAAGTGATATTTTTAGGAGATTTGTAAGAATATTCTTAAAAAATTATCGTGTTACCATGACAACTGCTCTAGATACTTCATGTTCGGAAAATACAATGGTTTTGTCAGCAAGGCGAGGGTTTCTGCATGCATGTATTTTCTAGTTAGTTATATGTCTCTACCGGGTGTCCCAAAAAAAAGTACTCCTGTTTGATTCGTAATAACTTCTAAACAAGTAAAGCTTTTTTAGAGAAATAACTTGCATTAAATAGAGGAAGGACTAACTTAGATTTTGATATATTACAGTTGTATTTAACTTAAAAATTCACGGAGATATTAATCTTTAAAATCTGGAGCATATTTCTGGATGTGTCTGAAATATGCAAAAAACGGCGTATCAAATATTAATCAAGATTTGCCCGATTGAAACATGCACGATTACCAGTAAATAAATGACACTTCACAAATTGTTTATTATATGAAACAAAGTATTATTATATCTACAAAATACAAGCAAGATTTATTCGTCCGAAATTCGCATGTGTTCCTAGCACGAATACATTTCCTTATTTCATGAGACCACTGCATCTTGAAGGATCGTCATGGATCGTTCGTAGTTCTGAATTAGGGCATGCTGTCACAATGGAATTGTGAAGCACTTCCAACTTCTGCAACGTTCTGAAATCTTGTTAAGAACACCCAAACTCTTTTGCCTTTTCTTAATCTTGGCAAGTTCAGAGTAAACTGAGAATTAAATGAAACACAATCAAACCATATAACTCCATAAGACATAACAATTAAGCAACTCCCCAGAGACATGCAACATTTTTGGAACAAAACCTAACAAAATAGTAGCGTTGATATACGGTGATGTGTATTTGCAAAAACCAATATTATTTCCTTCAATAAAGAATAATATTCATCTTGCTCTAACCGAGAAATAATCAACTCAGTCTGTTTGAACCCATTAAAAACATAAAAAAATTAGGCTATTTAAGAAAAATTTAAGCGCCTGCCTTCCATGGTCTTTCATGTACTTTTAAGTTTGTGAAGACCTAATATTAAATACTTGCATAATTTCGAACGTTCATATTTCAGGAAATAATGAGCTAAGACTTACATGTAAGATGTCTAAATCTACGCCATATCCCTTACAAACCCTAACGATAATTCGCTGAAATACAAGTTAGCCTGATATGTCATTAAGCAAACAAACGCTGGAGTTAATATTTGATATGCCGATTTTCGCTAATTTTAGACACATCCCAAAATATGCTCCCGATTTTGAACATTAATATCTAAGTGAATTTTTAAGTAAAATACAACTGTGATATATCAAAATCTAAGTTAGTCCTTCCTCTATTTAATGCAAGTTATTTCTCTTTAAAAGCTTTACTTGTTTAGAAGTTATTACGAATCAAACAGGAGTACTTTTTTTTGGGACACCCGGTATAAGTCTTATGCACCTGGTGCATGCTCCCATATGAATAACGATTCTAGTTTTGTCCCCAAGCCACGCCCGGAGCGCGTCGGGCGAAGCCCGTGGCGAGGGTACTAATTCCGCTCGACTATTTACACCCGGGGGAAGGAAAGCATTAGCGAAGTCTAAAGTTCATCAATAATCGCGGGCGCATGGATATGCATGGTGGTCATCTCAATGATCTAAAAAAATATAGCTCTTTGCCAGGTGTGAAGGAAGCAAAGATTAAAAAAAACATGCATGACACAAAGTTTGTACATCTTTTCACACTCCTTTCAAATGTTAAGTACCGGGTAAGTTTGTTTTTACTGTTTATGTAAAAGTTAGTTTCAAGAGCTATATCTGTATAGGATTTAAATTTATTTCAAGTACAAGTAATAAGTTGAAGAGTTTATCGGCAAAAAGCAGTTATTTTCAATGAACATTTAAAAACTTTTACGCAGCGTTTCGCCGTTGAATTTTACATTATAATAAAGCCCATAGAAAGCAAAATAACATACCTACTTCATATATGTTAGAAATCGATAGTTCTGTGGTAAGTGTAAAACATTAATTTATTTTTGCCATTTTGAACAAAAATTTAAAAAAGAAACCAATTATGTGTTGCCATGGCTACTGATGACGCGAGCAACGCGAGTCTGCGTTCCGCCACATAGTAGATACATGGGTGGAACTGGCCGTCGTAAACACAGCGGAAACTTACGTTTCATGTACACACTTTTTTCATGCGACTGGGTAAAATATTATTAACTGCGCGTGCTCGGTAAGTTCCGCGAGCAGTTATATAAAGCGAGCTTGCCGCCATCCCGATGGCGATGCATGCATCAAGTAACTTGCCGAGCATGCGCACAAAAAAGTGGGTACACTAGTTATAACTCTATTTGTATCTACTCTGTGGCTCCGTGTTAATGGCGTTATTAAAATACTTCATCAGCAGGGACGTAGCGAAGCATCTGAAGTCGGGGGTGGGGGTGTCAGAGGATTTTACCTGAAAATTGAACTTCAATGTTAAAAATTTACCTGAAGTTTTTTACATTTCTGAAGCTCTATGACTGCATTTCTGGCGTTTTCTAAAGCGAATTCTCAAACGAATTGCATGTAAATTGACTGTGTTTTTTAAAATGGTTATCATTTCACAAAAATAATTACTTTATTACGCAAATTTTACCTGAAAATGTCAAAATTTTAATTTGATTGAATTTTACCTGATTTTTGCCCGAGTTTCGCTTGTTGTAATGTATGCACGTAGCTGTCAATATTTTACGCCTATATCCGTACAATTAGGGCACGGTTCAGACATTGAAATTATAACAATACGACAATTTTTTTTTATATACACCCTGTATTGTATACTGAACCCATGCATGGGTGCGTAAACACAATTGAATTTTATGCATGAAAGTTATGATTAAACGTTTTTGGTTTCGTTCAACATATAATTATGTGCTGATTAATTTAACGCAGCGCGTATAAAGCAGTAAAATCTCGTTCCTCTGTTGTCAGTTGAACCATCTTTACTCGAACCGGTAGTAATGGTTTGACTAATTTGTATGACCGTTTTTGTGTAGCTATTCTCCTTTATGCTGTTACGGAAGCTATTTTATATTCCCAGGAGCTATTTTAGAATCTTGTGCAACCTGTCAATATTTTACGCACCGGTGGGTTCAGCATAGTGCTGAGGCATTCAAATAGGTGGAATTTTGCGCGCGGAGCGAAATTTTTCCTTGTCGTTTATTGGTTCCACCAGGGCGTTTATAAGATAGGGCGGCGAAACGCCAGTAATTCGCGTGAAACATGTGTGATGCAAATTAGGACTGGGGCTAGCGGGGAAGGTGCGAAATTTAAATCAAAACAAAATATTGATGCGAAACTCGAAGACACTTTTTAAATCTCTTATTTTGCCGAAATTATGCAGTCTATCGTTGCCATATTTTGCCATCTGGTTATTTACGTTTTTTACAATTGACATGGCATGGTTCAAGACAATCGTGAAAACAAAACTACGAAAATTTTGCACATGAAAGCCGAACATCATAATGGATTCCCTTACGCGTTTTTCAGGATGCGTAAATAAATTACTTATTTTATATCTCAAAAATAAGCCAGAACTTAGCTTTTTTAAATGCATGTTAGCAAAGTACAAATCTTTATTTCTCTTAAATTTCATGGCGTAATTTTTTGAACTTTTTTTGCAATAGCTTGCTGAATACAGCATAAAAAATTGATTACAGTTGAAAAATTTTCCAGGTTCGTATAGTTTTAAAATTTACGAATATAAAAGAAATTTAAACGTTTTTTGGCCACTCTTATTCTTAAATCGACAAAGGAATACTTGTTCGTCTTACCAGCATGTTCATCCTTGACTAGAAGCCAACATATAACGAGTAAATGAGAATTGTTTTCAAACAAGTGTTCGGGTTCATCGTCACTGCGAATTTTGCTTTTCCAACCGGCCTTCGATTTGTAAAATATTAATATCTTGTACTGTCACCAGAACTTAGCAAATCCAAGGACGACTAGTCCATTATCAGATCTTTCTTTGGTAAAAATATTGTCACTTAATTTTTTGCAACATGGGAACAAACACGACACAACGGAAAAATATTCGGCAGACATTTCGAATTATGCCGCGCGAACCGGAATATTGAGGCATGAGGCAAGTCAAGACACAGGGACACAGACACAAAATTAAATTACATACCGACGGCGACGATGAAAATTACGAAATTTATTTATTTATTGCGAAATAAATTTAAAAAGGGTAAACAAACACTTTGTATTTTAAATTAACTATACAACACAGATAATATAACTAAAAAGACATTGAGAAAAACAAGCCAAAACGACTTTGATATAAATTGGTTCAATATCAAATATCTAAAAGTACACATTTAAATAGACATAAAACTTGGTCTAGCAAGTTTTGTATATATCTCTAGTTGGTAGTTTATATTATAATTGTCTACTCTTATAACATATGTCAAATAATTTGAAAAGAACGGCTTCACCAGTGAGAGGATACAATGATACTCCCAGGGCCGTAGCGAGGGCGGGGGTATTGCCCCCCCCCCAACTTTTTTGGAATCAACATATTCGGAGAATCAGGCTGGCCATTCGGAAAATTACGGCAATAATATCAGTAGAACAAAATTTTAGTTGTTAAACAGAGAAAATATTATAAAATTGTATTGTCAGTATAAACTGATTTATGAAATTATGGCATTTACATGCAACATTTAACAAATCGTAAATATTTTTCAGTTTATTACTTCTCAGAGCCGTAGCAACCGGAGGGGGGGGGGGGGGGGGGGGGAAG